CCAAACAAGGTCACCACACAGTTACCAGGGCTTAGGAGTTGAGCAGCGTATCTGTGGGGCTAGGAACGCAAGTCAACCCATAATACTGTGTAAACCTGATTGAGCCCTTTTCTTCTGAAATTCTGGGATCCTTTGACTGGGGTGGGGTGGAAGTTGTAGCACAGATGCCTCTGCTGGATTACGGCCAGATGTCCATTTCAAAACAGGAAAATTCCTTTATGTTTTTTCTTCTCCCTTGTGTCAGGATTCAGGATGATATACCACTCCATGAGTGTTACTTTTTAAAAAATAAATAAGTAAATGACACTCTTGCTGTGTTATATTTGGTTTTACCAGAGATGTTTTTATTGACACTAGTCAAAAATAGACAAAGACTTCCCTGCTAATCTTGATGAATGTTGTTGTTAAGTGCTGTCAAGGTGATTCTGACCCATAGTGACTCTGTATAGAGTTTCCAAGGAGCAGCTGGTGAGCTTGAACTGCTGACCTTGCAGTTCAAATGGCTTTGCAGTCCAGCACATTAACCCACAGTGCCACACCAGGACTTGATGAATAGAAGTAGGCAAAAAACATCAACATAGCATCTCTTAAAAAAAGCCCACAAAAGAGGAAGTTCAATAAAAATGGATCTGACTCCATGCTAACATAGATCTATTTAGCATCTTTCATTCTAATGACTTAACAGTGAGACATCACAACTACAAGATTAGCAACAAAGAGGAATTATTAGTCACTGAAAAGGATGCCTGTGCAATCAATTTGCAGTCTTGTACTTCCCTGTATCCAAAGAGAAGGAAGAAAGTTGTTGGGATCCTGTTACCCTGTGGACAGACTGATCTGCTTAACCAATTGGCAGTTGGAAGACAACTACTAGCTCTGAGCATCATCTGAGCTATTGCAAGAGATGCCTCCTTCTACCTCCCACAGAACACTGCCTGAGCCCACCTCTGAAATGAATGTCTACAACACTTGTTGGCAATTTAAATCCAGAGTGAAGTGACTTCCCTGGGCACTCTGTTGCAGAGAGAAAGAGGTTCTCTGTCCTGTCGGTCTAGATGTTTATACCATCCCTCTCTGAAAATTGCATTTCTCTAGGCCACCATAGTGAGTCCGGATGTGGGGTTGTAGGATTAATACTGGACTGTTAACCTCAAGGTCGGTGGTTCAAACCCACCAGCTGCTCCTCAGAAACCCTATACAGGGCTGCTATGAGTCAGAACCAACTCCATAGCACTTAACAACAACAATAACAATCTTTGGAGTCCTGGTGTGGTGCTGTGGGTTAATGCGCTTGACTGCAAAGTCAGTTTGAACCACAAGGTCGGTGGTTCAAGCTCACCAACAGCTCATCAGAAGCCCTATACAAGGTCACTATGGGTTAGAACCGACTTGACAGTACTTAACAACAACAACAGGCCACCATAGCAGATGCCAGCAGTGCCTGCCCTTAGCCCATCACCATCACTGTTCTGTGAACAGCCAACACTTCTTACCACAACTCTCTTCTCTAGCTGAAAGCTTTCCCTGGACGCAAGGAAGACAGGCTCCATCACGTCAGTTCGCAGGGCAGGAACAGTGCTTGCCAGCCTTCAGCTAATGATGAAGGAGGATTGCTGGATGAGCAGCTGGGGGAATCATGTTCTACCTTATCTCCCAGAGGAGCCCAGTGAGTTTATGCCCCAGTTGCCTACAGCATTAACCTGCTCAGTAGCTCACCTGTTTTGGATTTTTTATCTCCTTGTTTCATTTTCCCACCTCCAAGGAGTGCTTCCTGGAAGTACCTCCCAATAAACTTCTGTTTCTGGGGGAATCAAACCTAGAGTGGTCCCAGTTGCCCTGAGGCAGGCCCCATGCTGTAGTACAGCAGCTGGGATACCTCCCCTCCTGAGGGGCCAGGTGGGGCCAGCAGAGCTGTTACTGGATGGTGGCTTCTAAGGGCTGTGGTTCTGAAGATGTGTTGTGTCTTGCCTGGGCTCTTTTCAGTTTGCACTGACTTCTCTCCTCCTTGCCCCTTCCCAAGCCTCTCAGAGGTTGTGTTCTGTCACTGTCCTGTTATTGTGCCTCCAAGAAGGTGCCTCAGCCCCTTGGGGAATCATCCTGGGGCTCTTAGTGCTGTGGAGATGGTAATCTTTGGCCAGAGGTGATGAATTTGATGTCTCTGGTCAAGTAGCTTTGAAAATGGGGTGGATGGAAGGCCCCAGGACAGCCCATAATTAATTAGGGCTACTCCTGTTAATGCGCCAGACTGCAAAGCCATTTGAACTGCAAGGTCGGCGGTTCAAGCTCACCAGCTGCTCCTCAGAGACCCTATAGAGGGTTGCTATGGGTCGGAATAGACTCTATGGCACTTCACAACAACAACAAGTCGTAGACCTGGAGTCCTGGTGTAGCAAGGTGGGTTAATGTGTTGAACTGCAAAGTCGATTTGAACTGCAAGGTTAGTGGTTCAAGCTCACCAGCCACTCCACAGAAACACTATATATGGTCACTATGACTTGGAACCAACTTAACGGCACTTAACAACAATAACTCCTGGTTCTGGGGCGCAGAGAGGGTGGGACTAGAGCAGAAACAGACAAATGTTGATCCTCCCCACAAGCAAGTGCCAAACCCCTCCCCCAAATAGGCTGGTGAGGCATATTACAGGTACCCACACCCACTCAAATGGATTAAGCTTACTGTGCCCCCTCACCTCTGTGCTCTTCTCCCTCGGTAGTCTCCAGGTGTCCAGAGCTGTGTCATCGGGTGCCCGCCCACCTGGGGCCTGTGTGCCAAGATTGCTCTTCCATTCCCTTCTCTCCAAGCATAGCCCTCATCCCCAGAACTCTGCTTTCCAGTTAGCCTAGACAACAAAGGAATTAAAAAACCCAAACCCATCATGGATGGCATCCTTGTGTGTTACAGAATAGAACGACTCCATCCGGCTTTCTGAGCTGCGAACTTTACAGAAGCACATTGTCAAACTTGCCTTCCACAGTGCTGCTGGGCAGGTTCCAACCAACAACACGTAGGTTAGTAGACAAGCAAAAACCATTTATGTCACCCAAGGACTTCATGATCCATATAAAGTAATGGAAAAAAAGCAATCTATATATACTTAGAGCTAATAGTTGTTGTTGTTGTTATGTGCTGTGGAGTCGGTTCTGACTCATAGCGACCCTGTACAAGGTTTCCGAGGCTATAAAATTTTACAGGAGCAGAAAGCCTCATCTTTCTCCCATGGAACAGCTGGAAGTTTTGAACTGCTGATCTTGTGGTTGGCAGCCCGATTCATAACCACTATGCTACCAGAGCTCCAATAGATCAGTATCTAAGTCCCCTAGGAGTGGATTCCTAATGGAGAAATGTCTAGCACTGCCAGTGTCTGGTTGGGGATGAGTGGGTGCATGCCCCTTAGGCACATGGCCCAGCCTGCTCCACCAGTATGTCTGTCTGCAGGCCTGGAAAACCACCACACATGCACCAGCTTTGCACAGTGACATTATTTGTGCAGTCATGTAATGCTGGACTTCTGGTGTGGCGCTGCCAATTAATGCGGTAAACTGCAACGTCGGTTTGGGCCATTAAGGCCGGCAGTTCCAACTCACCAGCTGCTCCTTGGAAACCCTGTACAGGCTCGCTATGAGTCAGATCCCAACTCAATGGCACTTGCTGTTGTTGTGAAGTGCCACTGAGTTGATTCTGACCCCTAACGACACTGTGTAGGGTTTCCAAGGAGCAGCTGGTGAGCTTGAACCACCAACCTTGCAGTTCAAATGACTTTGCAGTCTGATGCATTAGCCCACAGCACCACACCAGGACTGCAACAACATGTTAGTGCTGGGGCTTAGAAAACCTCTCATTCTAAGTCTTTGCTTTAGAGGCGAGAAAAGTAGGGCCCCAAGAGGGAAGGAACTCTACCAAGGTGTCCGGTGAGTTCATACCTGAAGATTTCCAGAAGCAGAAGAGATGAGGAAAAGTGGTCTATTTACTTCAACTTTTCTTAAGGCCAAGCAATCCTGAGCTATTTCCTTTGGGACAATCAACTTCTCACCTGGTAATGCTGAAAGAAAAAAATTAAATGTGATATTCCCCTGCTTCAGCCAGAGGCCTGATACTGCTATTGGACTGATTTAAAGTAGAAACTCCTGGCCTCAGGAGTAACCAAATATTGACAGAACTGAGCCTCATCATGTCAGAAGACTTCTCAAAAGAATGTCTTATTTAAATTCAATAGGTAATATATTCAAAGGGCTCACAGAGTTCTAGAAAAATAAAAAGCAATATGCATCTCAACACTCTTGTTCTACTCCCATTGTCTTCTCACCCACCCGCACCCTCCCAGAGGTTCAAGCTCCCTGATTGTTAACAAGGACTTGGAGAAGAGGCCCAATGGCAGCATCACTCTGGTCCCAGACCTTTGATCCCAGGAGAACAGACGTTGGGCTTTGCCATATTCTTGTCCATGTTTCCTTCTAGGCAGTGTTGCCCAGAATAGTTGGAATGAGAAAGACGATGTTGCGTCACAAGAACATGATGGTACCATCTACATGATTACCACCAAAGTGGGCAGGAGAAATAACAGGTGTGTGAGGTCCCAAACATTCTTGAGCATGTAAGCTGACCGTGCCCCTCGTATATATATAATGTATGCTCACTCTTTGCCTGCAGCTCAAATATTTCCTAACTTCCCATCAGACCTTCCCCTAGGTGGAGCTAACCAGACCAGTTTTGTTCATCCTCTAAATATGTTGTTGTTAGGTGCCATTGAATTGGTACTGACTCATAGCAACCCTGTGTACAACAGAAAGAAACACTGTCCGGTCCTGGGCCAACCTCACAATTGTTGCCATGCTGGAGCCCAGTGATGCTGCCATATTGCCAATCCATCTCACTGGGGCCTTCCTCTTTTTCTCTGACCCTCCACCTTACCACCTTACCTCTAAATATAGTTTATTTAATTTGCATGTGGTTTCCCTCATTATAATGTAATTACCATGAGGTGAGAGCCCCATTGCCAGAGCAATCAGAATGAGTCAGCTCTCACTGAAACCTTTACTTAGGCAAACACCCACTGTGTTCTTCACTCATCCCACTTTTGAGATCATATGAATGTAAAGTTTCTGCAGTTTCCACTAGAACTATCTCCTTCCCTGCTCACATATTGATTTCTCTATATCTTAGTGACCTGCACATACATGTATTCCTGAATTAATGAACTTCATATTTTTTTTCCTACTAACAACCCCTAATACTTTGACAAATACAATATATTCTTCTTCTGATCAATACTGCCCACTCCATAGATGCATCATATAAATGTATGTATTATATATATAT